CTGGACTTGCACACCTACCCCTTGAATAAGTATCTCAATATTTGCATGTGCAGAGCTGAACTCCTGAGTCCCCCTGCTGTAACTTGCTCTGTCTGCTATCATCCCCATCTTAGCAAACAGCAACTCCGTATACATCAGTGGTTCTCAACCTTCCTAATGCCATGACCAACCGTTTAATACAGTGCCTCATGTTGTGGTGACCCCCAACCATAACATTACTTTCATTGCTACTTCATAACTGTCATTTTGCCACTGCTATGAATCAGGTGACCCCTGTGAAAGGGTCATTCGACACCCCCCAAAGGGGTCGCGACCCACAGGTTGAGAACCGCTGATATACATGGACCTTTCTTTGCCCACAATGTACGAGGTTAGAAGTCCGACCACAAGGGCCCAGCTCTGGAAGATGTCTGTCTCCCTGCAGGTCTGTGTCTCATCAACTTCTGTTTGTTTCCTGGTCCCTGGAGATCTTCAGGTGGCTTGCCATCTATCTCCTGGCCTTGCTGTCACTTTCAACTCCATCTTTGGAATTGCTCAGGATCAAATTCTTGCAGCCCTCTTTGATTCCTTCTCTCTCTTGGTTTTTACCCCCTATATCCCCACCTCTTCAAACCAGAGCCAGGATTGGAACCATACTCACAACTGCATGACTCCAGCGCTGGAGCGGAAATCACTGCAGGAGCTCCTCACAGTTCTCCACCCCTGGTCTAGGCACCCGGCCCCAGGCCGGGTTGGCAATTCTCAAACCAAAGTTAGATCCTTGAATTCCTCTGCTCAGCCTTCTTCAGCATGCCCCTGTCTCCCTCACAGCAAAAGGCCAAATCTTTGCATATGATCTCTCTCACCCTCCAGTTCCCCTGCCTGCTACCCTGCCCCTGGGTAGGGTCACCCCATCCAGCCCACACTGGCAACCTGGCTAATTCCTTGAACACAAGAAGCATGCACTTCACTCTCAAGGTCTGTGTATCTGCGTCTCTGTCTTCTGGAATGTTCTTCCCCATAGACCTCTGTGCCTTTGCCACCCCCCACCCCCCATGGCCTCCTCTTTCCCCCTTACACAAAGCACAGCCTCCATAGCCTTCTTAGCCCCATGGAGTCTTCTGTATCATGTTTAGTTTAACCACACCACCTTTAAAGGCTTAAAGGAGGGACTCAATGGCAAAAGAACCTTCTGGAATGGGGACAAGAAGGCATATCATCCAATGGGAAACGGCCTTTTGCCTGGACGTTGGAGTCTGGGGGCGAGCAGAGGAGCAGGGTTGAGTCTGTGGATGGAGGAGCGTGTCTTCCTCATGGGCACCAGCAGGGGGCACCCGCCTGCTTGAGCTCACCAATCAGCAGGGGTGGGGAATGGAAGCAAATTTCTATCCAGGGTAATCTCACAGATTTGTTGGGGCCACGGGCTGAATGCGGGTTGGCGGGGGTGGTCCCAAAGTCCAATGTAGTCATGTTTTGGACTCTCTGGTGCCTCTGGGTGGTGGCCTCAGATGCTGCAAGCAAAGGCCAGAGGCAGAGGGTGGGCAGTGCAAGCTGAGCTCACCGCTGCGGGCGCATCCGTCCCTCCAGGGCCTATAATTTGGGTTCCCCTGGCCTGGCCACCCCTATCAGTGGTTCAGCAGCAGATGAGTCACCGGAGACCCGGGGCCAAGGCAAACACGGGAGGGGCAGGGGGGGCGGGAGGGGGGGCGGGGAGGTTCCCAGGGCTGTGCCTGGCTTTAGGCACCACCTCAGTTTCTTGATCTGATCCCCCCAATCTCTTGGAGCCCCTCTCTTGTCTTTGACCCCCTCTCTCCAGGAGCCCCTTTGTGCTTGCCTTATTGCTGTCTCCCCCTCCATCCCCATGATAAGAAAGGGAACCCTTTGACTTCTCTCTTGGAAGAGACAGGGGGCCAGTTTGCTCTGGCTCCCTCCCCTCAATGATGACAGCCCCCCACTTTCCTCCCCAAGGTCTCCCTCATTCTGCCCCTCCTCTTTCCTGGAGCTGCCGCGCGCGCGTGCTTGGGGTATTAGGCAATGGGTGTGCACCCGAAGCCCTCTGCAGGCCCCGCCTGCCCCACCGCCCTCCAGAAGCCCATGGGTCAGCAGTCAGGCCAGCCGGGTAGCGCTCAGGGCACCGGGGGCCAGCTCAGGCCACCCAGTCTGCCTGCCGTGGCCTCTAGTCCCAGAGCTGGGCTTCAGCAGGGGAGAGGGAGCAGGAATAAGGGTGCTACAGGATGGGAGCAGGCCACTGAGGGGACCACTGAGAAGCTGGGACCTTAGGTGTAGTCATTGAGACCTGTGACACCTGAGGGAGGGAGACCCCGGGACACACAGAGAAAGACTAATGTCCACAAGGTCCCTATGGGGACAGAGGGTCCAGGAAAGGTCACCTCCTTCACGAGCTTAGTGGAGTGCCAGGCTGAGGTGTGGGACCAGGAGGAGGACTCTGGTGCAGGCCAGGTGTAAGGATGGAAATTACCTGGATAGGGCTTTGTGGACTCTGGTGGCCTCCCAAACCGTCCCTGGTTTGGTGCTTGGTTCTTAAGGTGGGGTGTGTGTGCAGGTACTCTAGGGTGCCCAGACTTGGTACCCAACCCTCTGCTGTCTAGTGTTGTCAGGGACTGCAGGACCCCATCCATGGACCCTGACCCCCACCCCCCAGCCTGCTCAAGGACCTGAACATACAGGTGGTTAGGTGCACAACCCAGGGGAAAGTGGCACCCAGCTTTCAACCAACTCTGTCCGGTGGCGCACACACTGTGTAGCAGTGGGGAGGACCTGCAGCTGTACCTCAGAGCCTGAGCCAGGAGCCCCAACAGTGCTGCCAGCCCACTGTCAAGGAAGAGCTGACTGGCTGTGGGCATCAACCCTGTGGCTCTGTCGCCCCAGGCTGAGATCTCTGGTCTCTGAGTCAATGTGCCAGCCCGTGGTCCATGGGGCCAGCCATGCCTGGGGCTGCGGTCTGGCTGGGGGGTGGGGGGGCGGCTGGGAAGCCTGGGGCCCCTCTCTGGCAAAAATAGCCTGAAGTGGTTAGAGGGACTGTGAGGGTGAGTCAGGCAGTAGCGCGGTGGCGCCTAACCCCTTCGCTGCCACCGTAGCTTCTGGTGGCTGTCTGTGCCCCTGAGAGCAGGCTCTCTCCTAGCTGCCCTCACTGGACTCCTTTGGGATCAGGGGCCTCCCTGAAGCCAAGGCAAGGCACTGTCGGAGCCAAGCAGGAAGCGGGCCTGCCCCGTGCAGACCCTGGGATTCTTGGAAGGGAGACCTCAGGGAGCAGGGGTGCCTGCAAGCCAAGAGCCACTAGATCTCTGGGGCTCCCCAGCCTCTGCTAGGGCCATACTCAGGCCAAGACTGACCCCTCCCAAGGGGCAGGCACAGGACTCAGAGGTGGGCGGGTCGGTCGTGCCTCCCCTGCCCGCTCAGAATGCCCACACATATTCAAGCTGTGGGCTCCACTGGAGACAGGTCCCTAGCCCAAGTCGCTTTTCAGCTCCGACCTCAGCTGGCCAAAGGCGCCCTCCAGCCCCCTGCTCTTGGTGGAGAAACTGAGGTCAAGGAATGATGAAAGAAGTAGCCACAGGGGCCAGCTATCCCAGCTCCCCCGTCTGGGCCATTGCACCCTCTGTGCAGCCTTGGCGACCCCCAGAGCAGGTGAGGGGAACTCAGGCCACCTCCCCGCTTCGCAGAGGGGCCCAGCCCACCCGGCCTCGGGGGAGAGGGTGTGTGTGTGTGTGTGTGTGTGTGTGTGTGTGTGTGTGTGTGCGCGCGCGCGCGCGCGCGGAGGAGGGGGAGCAGTTGCGTTCCCGGGTCAGGGTGGGGGTGCAGGGGGGTAGAGTGGGGATGCCCAGGGTTGGGGAGGGGCCCCGCAGAGCTGCCGGTGAGCCGGCGCAGCCGGAGCCAGAGCCCCCAGTTCTTGGCTGGTCCGCTCGCTCTCTCCCAGGATCCGAGAGGCCCCCGCCCTCCCGCCCTCCCTTTCTGCTCCCGGCCGCTCGGGCGCTGGGGAAGCGGCAGAGAGGAGTGGCCCTGCCCTGGAAGAATGCGGCTCTGCCGAAGGGGCAGAGCCCGACCCAGTCTCCCCATGCTGTGAGCGGCGCGAGCGGAGCCGAGCCTAGGCGACCCCAGCGCCCGCAGGACGCGGCCCCGCGCCAGAGCCGCTGGAGGTACTCGGGAGCCGGGAGGGCAGCGGGGGCAGGAACGCGCCCGGGACGAGGCGGGCAGGCGGGCAGACGCGCATCCAGCCAAGGGGACACAGAGGCACAGAGACAGCTGAAGAGATGGTCCGAGCGAATGAAAGAGGGCGCCGGGATTTGGAGGGCATTGAACGCCAGAGCAAAGGGGTGCGGACCGAGGCTGGAACCCTTGGGGACCAGACGGGCGGTGCTCAGAGGAGGGGAGCGTGCAGTTGGGGAGGAGGGTGAGGACCGCGAAGAGGAATCGGCGGGTGCTGCGGTCCCTTTCAGGCGGGAACCAAGTCCCGGGTCCCCCTCTTTGCCGCACCACCTCCCCTCCTTCCAGCCGACGAAAAGCGCGGGGAGTGGGTTGGGGAGGCCATTTCTCTAGGTAGCTCGCTGAGCCCGCCGACCCTCGACGGCACCTGGAGGCGACACCCCTCCCCCCGCCCGCTGTAGGTGGTGGGGAACCCCCTGCGGACCCCGCCCCCAGTCCTGTGGGGGCGTGAAGCTGGGTTGGGCGGGGGAAGCGATCTGGGGCCCTGGGAAGGGGAGCGGTGGTGGTGGCGGCTGGTGTCCCGCATTGTGTCTGCGTGGGCGGGCGGGGCAGAGGCTCTCGCGCGAGGTCTTCCTATCGGCTCTCCAGGGACGCTGGCCACCAAGGGGTGATTCTGCCTGTGGCCCGTGTGCTTTGGGGGCAGGCTGAGATCTGTGGGTGGCACCAGTGGGTTAGAGGGACGGAAAAGGGCATCCTGTTGCCCGGGTGGACCTGCTGATTCCGGAGCCCGCTTCAGGTCGCCCTAACCCGCAGGCCCCGCTCCAGCTGCCCACCGGGGCCTCGGGGCCGGCTTCGACATGCCGGAGGGGCCCCGGCTGCGGCCTCCGCCCTCCGGCCTCGCGGGCCTCCTGTTCCTGGCGCTGTGCAGTCGGTGAGCAGTCCCCCCCCATCCCCGCCCCCGCCTCGCCTCCCAGTCCCTCCACCCCCTGCAGCCGTGGGCCCCGGGGCGGGGGTGTGGGGAGGACACTCGGAGGGAGGGGACAAGGCCTGGACCCCAGACCCCAAGCAGACCCCTCTGTCCCCAGGGCCCTCAGTAATGAGGTCCTGGGCCTGAAGCTGCCCGGCGAGCCGGCCCTGACGGCCAACACCGTGTGCTTGACGTTGTCGGGCCTGAGCAAGCGGCAGCTGGGCCTGTGCCTGCGCAGCCCCGACGTGACGGCGTCCGCGCTGCAGGGGCTGCACATCGCTGTCCACGAGTGTCAGCACCAGCTGCGCGACCAGCGCTGGAACTGCTCAGCGCTCGAGGGCGGCGGCCGCCTGCCGCACCACAGCGCCATCCTCAAGCGCGGTGAGCCGGGCCCGCCGGCCGGGTGGGGGGCAGGTCGAGGTGGGTGGGGGGCGGGAAGGAAGGAGTTCATGGCTGGCTCCGGAGGGCCTCTCCCGGGAATTCCCCCCGGGAGCGCGCAGAGCCAGGTCTGGCCACCCGTCTGGGGCCCTGAGCGCCTGACTTCCACCTGTGCGCTGGCGGCAAGGCAGCTGGGTCCGGCGCCCCACCCCGGGGGGGCCCCCCCTTTCTGCCTCCTCCCAGCTCGACCTGGGCTGCACCTGTGCATGAGATGCCCCCAGCCCTGAAAGCTTCAAAAGCCCCCCTCCTTTCTCAGCCCCCGCCCCCCCCAACAACCTTCCTTTCTTGGAGACAAGCCTGGGCTGGTGTCCCCTGAGTCTCAGCGGGGGTGGGGAGACGCCCCCAGCTGTTTAAGAGTTAAACTTGCTCCCCTAATTGCTGGGGTACCAAGCGCTGAAACTGGGAACAAAGACCCCGGTGGCTTTGAAGGCTGGGAGAAGCCCCCTTCTCTGTGTTGTGGGGGCCCCAGGTGGTACTCACCTGAGCAGGTGAGGGAACAGTTGGAGGGGCAGAACAGGTCACTGCCGGCCTGGTCTGGGAGGCTTGCCGCCGCCTTTCCCCAAGCCCTCCCTGCCCGACCTTACTTCCGGAGGTGTAAGGATCCAGAGAGGGCTCCCGGATGGCCCAGGGTGTGGGGGCAGTACTTTGGGGACTATGGGGTTAATAGGCAGCTGCCATCTGCAGGGGAATTCCCAAGACTTGTGCTAACAGCTTCACCCCTGGAGGGTTGGGGTTGGTGGGGGATCTGAGACTGGGCCAGGAGCCCTGCATCCTGGGCTGGGAGAGGCCTGGCCTCTAGGAGGTGCTGGCGCTCGCTCGGTTTTTTTTCTAGGGTCTCCAGAGAGCTGTGCCTTAAAGGAACAGGGAGATCTGTCTCTTTCTCCCTAGACCTGGGGTGGAGTAAGGTTTTGACGACCAAACGCAGAGCAGGGCTATCTAAGCCTGAGAAGGCCTGTCTGTCGGTCTTCAGCTTCTTGTGACCCCCAATACATAACAAAGAAGCCAACTTTTAAAGAGGGCCTCAGGGAGAATCACCTTCCTTCCTATTAGCAGTCTTTTACAGGGTAATAGTAGGTTAGGATAAACATGAAGGGCAATCTTGAAGGAGGAGTACAAAACTAGAACCCAGAATGGGCAGCGCCACTGCTTTGGGGGTATTGGGGTAGTAGAGCTTAGGTTGATTAGAAGAACTGATTCAAATGACCCTGAAGCCCAAAAGAGAATGATTGCCCCAAAACTTCCACATCCAAGTTCCTTGCAGGGCTGTGGGGGGAAAAAAAAAAAGGACACCTGGTGGCATAGTGTTAATGCTTTGAACTGCTAACCACAAGGTCGGCAGTTCAAAGCTAGCGGGTGCTCCTCCTTGGGCGAAAGATGAGGCTTTTTACTCCCAGAAAGAGTTACAGTCCTGGAAACCCTGCCCTAAAAGATCACTGTGAGTTGGCATTGGCTCGATGGCAGGGCATGCGTTTGTTGCTGTTTTGGCTGTAGAACTCAGGACCCATGGTGCTTCATCGCCTCCCAACCCCAGGGCTCTCTCTGGGCTAGCTCTTGCATCCACAGACGAACACAGTGAGACTGGGCCTCACAGGGCAAATCGGCCCATCCTTCCCTCTGTGCATGGGGAAACCGAGGCTCTGCACCCTGCCTTCTCCGGTTTGTCACAAGTTACTCAGCCTGGGGTCAGGCTTCACTTAGGAATTTCTGGGAGGTGGGTGGGTGGGGTGACGGTTTATTTCATCTTCCTCCCCAGCTGCTTGTCAACCTTGTCTCTTTGCCCCCCCACCCCCCTCATGACACCCGTCTCATCCCCAGGTTTCCGAGAGAGTGCCTTCTCCTTCTCCATGCTGGCTGCAGGGGTCATGCACGCCGTAGCCACTGCCTGCAGTCTGGGCAAGCTGGTGAGCTGCGGCTGCGGCTGGAAGGGCAGCGGTGAGCAAGACCGGTTGAGGGCCAAACTGCTGCAGCTGCAGGCACTGTCCCGGGGCAAGAGCTTCCCTCACTCGCTGCCCAGCCCAGGCCCCAGCCCCAGCTCAGGCTCCAGCCCTGGCCCCCAGGACACATGGGAATGGGGCGGCTGTAACCACGACATGGACTTTGGCGAGAAGTTCTCCAGAGACTTCCTGGATTCCAGGGAAGCTCCCCGAGACATCCAGGCCCGAATGCAGATCCACAACAACAGAGTGGGGCGCCAGGTACGTGTGGTGTGTCCCTCCCCTGGCCCCCGAGACCTGCCTAGAGTTTGAAAGGCCCAGCTGTGTAGGGCGATGAGATGTGGAGGGTGGTTGCCACTTGCCCAGCTGGGAGGCCTCAAGCAAGTCACTCCACCTCAGTTTGGCATCTGTACAAAGAGCCTCAGGGTAGCACCTTTATAGAATCAGGAAGACTGAGCAAGCCAGTGATGGTTCAGTGGCAGAATTCTCACTTTTCCCTGCAGGAGACCTGGGTTCCATTCCTGGCAAATGTCCCACGTGGACAGCCCCCACCTGTCTGCCAGTGTGGCTGTGATGCCCAACAGGGTCTAGCAGAGCTTCTGGACTAAGGCAGCAAGGAAGAAAGGGTGGATGGTCTACCTTGGAAAAGTCAGGCTTGATGAAAACCCTATGGCTTACAATGGTCTGATCTCACTGTGCAGATCTCCCACTCCCCACCCCAGTGTCAGAGGTTGTTGGCTAATGACCACAGAAGCAAGCAGCGCACTCACCCGAGAGACTAGTCCTTGGCAATGCTCCTGACATGGCAGCTGGAATGACAGCTGCCTTCCCAACAGTATTTAGTAGTGCTCCGGGCCAGGCTCCCATCTCTGCAGTGCTGTCTGCAAGGAGCACTGGATTAGGAGGCACTTTAGTGCCCCAGCCAGAGAATGAGGGAGCTGGGTTGCCAGCTAACCTCACAGTGCTTCGTGGTCATGCTTGCCTCCACTGTCTCTCCCGTGCTGTCTGCTTCCCTCTCCGGGGCCTCTGGGCTCTGTCCATGTCCCCCTGTCCCCTCTGCCCCCATCCCCCTCTCCGATGCAACTCTAGGTGGTAACTGAAAACCTGAAGCGGAAATGCAAGTGCCATGGCACATCGGGCAGCTGCCAGTTCAAGACATGCTGGAGGGCTGCCCCCGAGTTCCGGGCAGTGGGGGCAGCACTGAGGGAGCGGCTGGGCCGGGCCATCTTCATCGATACCCACAATCGCAACTCAGGAGCCTTCCAGCCGCGTTTGCGTCCTCGTCGCCTCTCGGGAGAGCTGGTCTACTTTGAGAAATCTCCTGACTTCTGTGAACGAGACCCTGCCGTGGGCTCCCCGGGCACCCAGGGCCGGGCCTGCAATAAGACCAGTCGCCTACTGGACAGTTGTGGCAGCCTGTGCTGTGGCCGCGGGCACAACGTGCTCCGGCAGACGCGCGTGGAGCGCTGCCATTGTCGCTTCCACTGGTGCTGCTACGTGCTGTGTGAGGAGTGCAAGGTCACAGAGTGGGTCAACGTGTGCAAGTGAGGCTCCGCCTCCCCGCGGGGTGGGGGGAGGGGCGCCTTTGCAGCACTTTGCTCTGATTTTTGTCCAGGGTCAATCTTGGCCCCTGGAAGCTCCAAGTAGCCCCCTGAAAAGTTTTGGAGATGGTGGGGGCCAGGTGATCTGTGGCGTGCAGCCTTCTTCCTACAGTTGGAAGGCCTGCTGGGGAGCTGTCACCCCCTTCTGCTCCATGACTGCCTGTTGGGACTGATGATGAGGATATGCACTGTATTGCCCCCTCCCCCACCCCATCCAGCTCCTGTCCTCTTTGACCCTGATACGGACACCCTGTGGCCAGGGAGTTCCTGTAGCTTGATGGTTCTTCCCCCTCCTGTGAGGGACAGCCCCAGCCATTGCAGGGAGCCCTAAGACCTGTGTCCAGAAAGAGACCTCTCACGCCTCCTTGAGGTTCCCCCACCACTGTTTTCCTGCAGCCTGGGCCCCTCTTGTGGGGTCCTGGGAGACAGCAGGAGAAAGGCTTTTCTCAGCCAAGGGAGGGCATGCTGGGAGGTGCTTGGAGAGCTGCCCAGCCCAGCCTTACTGATGCTGTCTCCCTTCATTCAGATGCTCAAGGGGGACCCTCTAAAGGAAGGGCTTGACCTGAAAACTTTCTGAGCCTCTTTTTACTTTCTTCAGCAGAAGGGGTGGAAATGGATAATTTATTGCACTGAAATGTGTTCTTGGTTCCTGTTTGTAACTAAAATAAATTAAGTTCCTGGATCAGTGGATGCTGATGGTGGTATTTCTGCCCACACTTGGGATCCCAGTCCATGACTTCTTGTCCAGGTGAATTCTCCTTTTGTGCTATCTATGTGAAATGCCCAAACCCCAAACAAAGCAAAAATCCTTCACCACCATTGAGTTGATTCTGACTCACAGCGAAGCCACAGAGCAGAACTGACCCTGTGGATTCTGAGGCTGTAAATCTCCATGGGAGTAGAAAGCCTCGCCTTTCTCCAGAGGAGTGGCTGCTGTGTTTGACGTGTGGACCTTGTGGTTAGCAGTCTAATGCCTAACTCAGCACCCCATTGAGCTCCTGCACGCACTGGCTTTATATATATTCTACCTGGATATATATTCAGAGGATTGCAAATGGTCTTCAGTGACGTAGTGTGCAAAAACCAGCATTCCCAGTGCTTACGTGGAGATTTGCAGTAGAAAGTGCTAGATACTCAAATCTAGACCCGATTTACTCCATATGCCTCAATGCTAGCATTCACTTTACTTACTGCCTTAGAACAAGGATTGGCTTCTTCTTCTTTTTTCTCCTTTTTTTTTTTTTTCTTTTTTAACATTTTATTAGGGGCTCATACAACTGTTATCCCAATCCATACACACATCAATTGTGTAAAGCGCATTTGTACATCGTTTCTCAAAACATTTTCTCTCCATTTAAACCCCCGACGTTAGGTTCTCATTTTTCCCCTCCCTCCCCGCTCCCCCCTTTTTCCTCCTTCTTATAAAGGTCTAGAAGATGGTGAGCATTTTAGACTTGTGGGCTGTTTGTCACAACTGTTCAACTCTGCTACTGGAGAGCAATGGCAACCATAGACCCTACATAAATGAGTGGGCTGGCTGTGTCCAGCTAAGGAGTGCTGGTTGGCTTAGTGGTCACAAGCTGGGCTGCTGAACCCACGGTGACAGTTCTTCCCTGTCTTTTTTTTTGGGGGGAGGGGGTCATTATGAATTAGAATCGACTTAATGGCAGCGTTTTTAGTTAGTTGTCTACATGAACTTAATTCACAAAAACAGGCTGGATGGCTAGATTTGGCACTCTGGCTGTAGTTTGTTGACATCTCCCCCAAACCATGAGGTCCTCCTTGTTCTGGAGTGTTCACCTCCTGTATGTGTCTGCACATGGAACCTAGTGCCGAAAGACCAGGTGCTTTTCTCTCTGCTTCAAACCGGTGCACGTGGGAGGTAGATGAAGGTTGATAATAAGGAGCCCTGTGGGCCTGTGTGAGGCTGCTAACTGAAAGGTGAGCAGTTCGAACCCACCAGCTACCCAAGGGAGAAAGAGGAAACCATTTGCTTCCATAAAGATTCACATTCTCAGAAACCCCTTGGAACACGCTGCTTTACCCTACAGGGTTGCTATGAGTTTGTAGTATGGGTGTGCTGAAAACAAGATTAGAAAAAATTAAGTTTTATTGACATCGAATTCAATGCCATGGAATCCAATGGTTTAAACGTATTAAAAAGAGCTGGGCAAAACCAGGATTTTTTCCTTGGCTCTGGAAACCACTGAATGATGTGCCTGTTGTTTTGTCCTTGTGGGCTCTCCTTAGTACAACAACTTACTTCTCTTTCAATAAATAACCATAACTACAAAGAAAAGAACTTTGTTTTTCCCCCCAAAACTCTTTTGATTCCTAGTGTTATCTTTGAAAACGAGCTGTTATCTTGCCCAAATTCCATGAAGAAGGATGCACAAGGCACAAATGACTGCATACCGATGGGGCTGCCAGATGCTGACTCTTATTAAGTCAATGCTGACTCATTGTGACCCACTGTGCATTTCCAAGACTGGAACTGTTTATGAGAGTAGAAAACCCAGTCTTTCTCCCTCGGAGCTGCTGGTAGTTTTGAACTGCCAACCATGCGGATCGCAGCCCAATACTTAACCACAGCCCAATACTTAACCACTCCATCACCAGGGCTCCATCTTCTCTCCTCTGGTCAATAGATATATCTGCTACTTACATGGCCCTTGAAATTAGGAGAAGGGATGAGATGCACCATGGTAGTAGAGGAATTTTGAGGAGTGTCAAGTTCAAGTAGTACTTTCTATCCCGAATTTCCACTTGGGTGCTGGGAATTCTGGGTTTGGAAATCTGCTGGAGGCAGGAAGCTCTCCCACCTTTAGTTTGGGCACCGACTGAGCTTAATGTGTATAGAAGAGAAGAGTCCAGCTAGAGTGGGCATAAGGTAGGCGATGTTGATAAAGACTCTCTGGAAGGAGACGTCCTCACATTCAGGAAGGGCAAGGAGACTCTCCAATGGGAGCCCAGCCAGTATATTTCAGCGTTTTCCTACTTCCTTCCTCCCTGTTCCCTTTGACTCTCTGTTTCTAGCATTCCCTCTTCAGCAGACATGCTCTGCGGCAAACTTAAGCCCCAAACCACAACCCTGAGAAATTCCATATGGATTTTGTCAGCAAGGACAATCCTCCCTGCTCCCCCAAGCCTTGGGCCTGCTCCTGACACACGCACTGGGCTCAGGCCCAGGCCTGGGGTCAGTGACAGGAGTGTGTGTGTAGGGGGGCGTGTAACCCACAGAGTGGTGACTTCCATTTCAGCTCCAATGGCAGCTCGAGGGAGGGTGGAAGGCCGGAAGACTGATGAGCTGTACGCCCGGTCTCCTGTCCTCCTTCAGCGCTGGACGAGCTCCTCACCCTTGAGCTATCTATCATCAAGTGGCTGGGAAGCTGAGGAGTGGCGGTGGGTGGCTAAGTGCCAGACTCTCTAGAAGAGAGTATCAACATCGCAGACCTCATGCCCACACCAGCTGGACTCTTCCCTTCTATCCACACATTAAGAGTGGTGGCACCCCTCTTATCTATGCTCCTCTTTGCTGGGGGTGGGGTGGGGAGGAAACATTCACAACAGAGACCTTCCTTCCCAGACCCCAAAGGGGTGAAGGCAGAAGGGCTTGGGGACCCTCCAGTTCCGTCAGTCCTGACTCAGTGCAAGTCCTACTTGTATTAGCCACACTGAGCTGCCACCATCTCCATTCATCGGCCGGACCGGGGACCCAAACCTGAGGATCTGCAGCTTTGAGCAGGAACATCAGCAGACTCTCGTTAGAGCCCCATAAGACATGTCATGGTTGTGGACACCAGGGAAGAGAGGGTGGTGGTTGTGGGGCATGATCTGGTGGGATGCAACTATAAAATTCTAGGCAACATAGCAAGACATGGAAGGAGTATCCCAGGGCCCACGGATGTATCACAGGGCCCACTTGAGTCTGCAAAAACACTGAGGAGTCTTCTGCCTCCAAAAACACAGAGCTCAGCAGGCCCTCAAGGGCACCGACCCTGGAAAGAGATAACGCTCCTCGGGACGAGCAGGTTCTTTGTCATCCATGTCACCCCTCATCATTCTAAACCACAGTCTTACAGCTTCACATTCATATCCTTCTCCAGGTTAAAAGAAAGAGAACAGACTGTGACCAGTGGAAGTGATTGGTGCGCTTCGTGTGTATACACCAGGGACGATGGGCATGAGAAGACAGACATATGGCTACTACCAGCCTTACTGTTTTTGGAAAAAGAAACAAGGGGAATTTTTTTTTTCCCTGCATAGAAGCCACGACTATGACTTCATCCGTAGGGAAGAGCCATGTGTTCTCATGGACTGCTGTAAGAGGAACCTTCTGTTCTTAACATTATGAGTGTCCTGTCACAGCCAGGACTCTCCCGGCGCAGCGCTTTATATCCAGACCAGATGCAAAATGAGTGTCAGGGGCATGGGGATGAGGAGGAGGGGAATCCTGGCTATAAAGCCCTCTAATTTCCTTGGGATACAAAAATCCAAACGCATGTAAGTATCCTTCCTCAAACTGCACCTGCGAGCATCAGGCTTCAACTGCTCCTGTCTTGGAAGTTTAAACTTCCTAACAGGTCCAGAGATCAGCTGTCATTCAGTGCCTTAAATCCCCCCCCATTCCCCCCCCCAGATCTTTCCTAGGAAAACCAAAGACCAACTCACCGCAGTCGAGTCAGTTCTGATTCAGAGTGACCCTATAGAGGAGGACAACTGCTCCTGTGAAGGGCAGTTCAAGAGATTGTAACTCTTTTTAAAAAAATTTTTTTAGAAGATTTATTTATTTATTTATTTATTTTTAAACATTTTATTAGGGGCTCATACAACTGTTATCGCAATCCATATACACATCAATTGTGTAAAGCGCATTTGTACATCATTCTCAAAAATGAAGACCTAATGTCGGGGGTTTAAGTGGAGAGAAAATGTTTTGAGATTGTAACTCTTTAGGGGACTAGGAAGCTTCGTCTTTCTCCAGTGGAGCTGTCTCGTGGTTTTGAACTGTTGACCTTGCTGTTAGCTGCACATAGCCACTACACCACCAGGGGCTCCTTATCTTTCTTAGAAAAGGTCTCATTCAAATCCCAGAATAACCTAGTCTAAGGGTAGCGAGCAATATTGGTTCACTGAGGCTTTTCAAAGGAGCCCTGGTCTCAGAACCTCTCACTGGGGCAGCCCTACCCTATCCTATAGGATTGCTCTGGGTCAGCATCCACTTGCTGGCAGTGGTTTTTGTGAGAGGCTTTTCAGGGGGTGCAGCGAGCCCTGGTTAAGAAATAATGATGAGGTGTGGCGAGGTTAAGGTAGGTTTGGGAAGAGCGGTTCTGGCTTCTGGCTTCGCCCAATGCAGCCAGGACAAGGCCCCATCCTCAAGTCCCGGGCAAGGCCTCTAGCTTGGAATTCTCACTGCAGTCCTCACTGCCTTATCCCCATTTCCCGATGCCCGCCCCCGATGCCCACAGCCTCCAGCCCAGACACCGGCCCCCACCCAAGCTTCTGCTCCAGAACTCGGCAGCTTCTGCTGCAACCGCTGCCATGGTGATGGGTATCGCGAGAACTGCTGCTAGCGGTCGCGCAACTCTCGCGTGATCCGGGAGGTGGGAAGTCTCCCGGGCTGGGGGTGAGCCTGTCGCCGTCGCGGCTTCCGGTGCTAGGTGGAGGGAAGGAGGGCGGGAGTCGGGGAGCGGGGCCCGGGGAACAGCCGTGCCCAAGTCGGCCGGGGGAGCTGGAGGGAGCGGACTGAGATCCGAGCCGAGCCTGCGGGGGCGGAGGCGGCAGCAGAGCCGAGAGCTGGAACAGGTGAGGGGCTAGGGAAGGAAGGCGGGACCCGGTCGAGTGGAGATTCGGGGTGGGGGCTGAGGGGATAGCGCCCCCAACCCGGCACTGCCTGGCATGGGGTGCTGTGTGCCTCATCCCAACTCAGCAGCTTGGAAAGGCGGTGCCGGGCCGGTCCCACGCCCGCCCCCGCATTTGAAGGACGCGGAGCTGGAGTGGGGGTGGGGGGCTCACTCGGATTTGTCCTCCGCCTCGCACAAGGGGGCGACCTGGCCTGCAGTTAGGATCCCCTGGCCCGAAGGAGGTGGATTTGCGAGGGGTCGGGGTTCGGAGGGAGGGGAGCCGATTTTGAAAGAGCTGGTGCGGGGGCGGTGATGCTGTTGTGTATCTTTTTGCTGTTAAAGGGCTACAGGGTGCCGTTTTCTCCTGCCCCCTCGTCCTCCTCCACCCGGGAGCTGTAGGGGAACCACAGCAAGCGATACCCTCCCCCAAATCGTGGGGCAGGGGTGCCTAATGGTTTGGGAGATGAGCCGGCCGGGGGAGGCTACTGGAGCGCCCCGGGGGCCGCTCTGAGCTTTGCGTCGGGTCCAGAGAACCGCAGGTGGGCAAGGGGGCAGCAGGTGGAGAGGGGGAGGAGGAGAGACCGGAGAAGGGGGAGGGGGATCCGATCTAGCTTGGAGAGGAGAGGTGGGGCCTTCCTCCTCCAGGCTAAGCGGGGGCGGTCTCAGGGGAGGAGGGAGCGTCTTGCGGCTCGGCCCGAGTTGGTGTCTTCCAATCCGCTTGCTTTCTTTAGGAAGCACCAGGATTCCCGGAACAGAAAATGGTGCCTCTGCTTACACCAGTGTTTTTGAGGGGTGTAACAGGACTTCCCTGTTAAAATGAGCCACTTGAGTGGCAAAGTAGTAGCTCCTCCTTTTGGGTGGTGGTGGTGGTGATGGTGGTGGAGTTTTAGGAGGGTGTTAGGTGGTCAGAAATGAGAAGAAATAATAGTGAGGTCATCAGGTGAGGGAGAAGTGTAACTTAAAACCTGGGTCACCCCCTGCCTGTGGCATGAAAGTTTTATTGGGAGATCTGATTGCCTGGGCCAGTGCAGCAGGACTGACCCCAGCCTCTGCATACCTCCTTCCCAGTTCCCAGTCAGGCAGGTGGTGAGTCTTCCCTGCCTTTCTGTGGTCGGCCTATATTGTTGGAGCAAGTGTCCCGGAGTGGCAGGCTTGGGACGTGGAGTGGACCTTGCACATTAGACCCATGGCCGAATGACATGTCTGTAAAAGCTCATTGGTGAATCGGTGATCTGGGATTCAGCTGGGAAAGGCCCCCAAGTATCATACTCGGGTGCTTCCTTGCTCCCAGCAGAGAATTATTACTGCATGGTCAAAATTTGTGTATGTACATACCTTACTTTTCCAAAGAGACCAGAGCATAAGTGTGAATAGTGGGTGTGAAGGGATCCCACAGGACACGTTTTTTCTGATGATAGTTAAACGAAGGGAAAGAAAGGGCTTGGCTGCCAGGGAGCATCCCTGGAGATAACCAAATGAGGGCACAGACACCTTTGGCTTCTGTGATTCCAAAATCCCGGTCTCTCTGCCTTCTGGAGAGGCGCAGCACAGTCACGGATAATGGGAGCTAAACCCTAAAGAGAAAACTTTCCGGAATATGGAGTTAATATTTATCTGAAGTCCCAGATTGCCTGCTTCCCCACTGAAGGGGCTTGCCGTTCCATTTAGGCCCCTCGGCGTGTGTGGAAATTGTAATCCTGAGGAGCAGAGGAAGGGGCCAAGTGTATGTCTGTGTGAGGTGCCTGGCACAGCGTTGAGCCTGCGAATGGTAGCTGCTATTATCAGACGGAAGGCAAGTACAAAGGAGAGCTGACAGCAGGCTGGAAAGAGTGGATGGGCAAGTTTAAGTGCACAAAGGTTGTATTGTGGTGTGTGTTCGTCTGTGCTAGTCTTCCACAGAATAAGAGGAAATGGGTTCAGGACAGTGGGCGGGATTTATTGGATAGAAGGAGGAACTTCTTTAAAACCAGGTTTGCTAAAGCTGGGTGTATGACTGAGGGAAATGGTGGAATCTGCTTACGCACTTTGGAGCCCTGGTGGTGTAGTGGCTGCATGTGGGCTGTTCACCATAAGGTCCAGCCATAGGAACCACCAGCCACTCGGAGGGAGAGAGCTGGGGCTTTCCACTCCTGGGAAGATTTACAGCCTCCAAAACTCACGGGCAGTTTTCCCCTGCCCTGCAGGTCGCCTGTGTGTCTGCGTCAACTCAGTGGCAGTGAGTTTGGGGTGGTTTTTTTTGGCTTTCTCACATACCTTCAGTGTGCCAAGAGGCCTAAGACTCAAAGCACATCACTGCGCTGTGTGGTTCTGCTCAGTCTCGGTCTAACAGGCAGAATAGCGAACTTAGGCGGACTGAGAGGCAGAATAGCGTGGGCATTGAGAGTCGGGGCTTTGGAATTAGACAGGATTGGGTTGGAATACTATTGCAAATGACTTGCTGCACAGTTTTGGTGAAATCACTTGCCCTGTCTTAGCTTCATTTTCATCATGTGTAAATAATACCTATCACACAGGTTTGACATGAGAGCTAAATCAGGTGACACATGCAGAGTGCTTAGTATTTATTGTGCAAGACACACGGTAGGCACCAAATACATATGAGGGGGCCTTCACAAAGTTCGTAGAACATGGAATTAAAAGATAAGGGAGTGTTCCCATGAACTTTTTGAAGCCCTCCCGTTACATGTTGGACTGCTGACCTCAAAGCTGGCTGTTCAAACTCACTGGTCACACTGAGGGAGAAAGTTGAGGCTGGCTGCTCCTGTTAAGATTTGTGGTGTGGGGAGCCCTACGGAGCAGATCATCTCTGTCCTGTAGGGTCACCATGAATTAGAATCCATTCGGTGGCAGTGTTCTTTGTTTCTGTATCAGCTGCTGCTGATCATCGGGATTGTGCTAGTAATCGGGGAGCACTCAGGGCTCCCATACGGCAGTGGAGGTTTACAAAAGAACAACTTGCTGCCTGAGGCGCCTGTGTGAAGGGATGATTATCACCAGGACTTTGTTTTGTTAGGTTTTGAAGCAGGAAAACATTTTTTCAGCAGCGGCTTCTACTGCTGCGTGGGAGGCAAGACTGGAACCAGCCAGGGGCCCCAACCATCAACGTGGATGTAGGGTGCGGACGGTGGGGGCTCAAGAATAGAGCTGGTGGCATACCAGTCAATGGGACTCAGGTGTTGGTGGACTCTTCCCCAAGAGCACCGCCTGATCGACTTGGGTCAGAGATTTAGATTCCTAGGGCCCATTCCTCTAGGCCTCAACCAGTATTTCAGGGTCCTTTGTTTTTCTGGGCCACTCCTTCACTTTAGTTGTAGCTCTTTTTAGATGTCTGCCTCTGCATCTATATTTCCGAATGTATCGTATAAAGGCCCAGATTGTGGTATCTCTGTCAGCCTCCGTCGACTACACTTTTTCCAGCTTCTGTCACAAATACAGGTGGGGTTCTAGTGAAGCCTTTTCTCAATGGAAAGGCACACGAGCATTTAGAAGGACTCTCCGGAAGGTTGGAACTTTGGTATGTAGCCTGGGAAGGATACAGCTGAGGCCGGGACTTGACAAGCGCGGCAGAGCTCTGGGAAAGATTTCTACAGAGGATCTGCTACACCATGTGCACCAGCAAGGCAATGCTTCCAGGTTTCAAGAATCCTCCGTTGTTGGCATGTTCCTGAAGAAAGGTGAGGGCACTGGGTGTGTCGGGTCTCCTGGGAGCTTTTTACTGGTGACTCAAGCCATGCTATCTTCAGTTGCCTCACAGGCAGGTGGAGTTTGGACGTGGAATAGAGACCGAAGAAGAACCGGTGCATGTGAAGGAGGGTGCTGGCGAGAAGAGTCTTGAAGGTGCCATGGACTGCCTGCCTCCAGAGCAGACAAATCGGTCTTGGAAGAAGTATGACCAGAGTGCCACTTCCAAGCTTACCAGGCTTTGCCTTACATCCTTTGGACATGGGCCCAGAAGAAACCAGCCCCTAGACAATGCCATTGTGTTGGTAAAGTAGAGGAGCCGCGACAGAGGAAGAGCGTGGACGCAACGGGCAGTCACAGTGTCTGCAAAGGGGGCTGAAGCCCAACTGTGAGGCCCGGGCGCAGGACGGGGCAGGGCTTTGTTCCATCGGACACGGGCTGCTAGGAGTCAGCACCCACCCAACGCACCAAGACAGCATTGCTGGCCCGTGGGAGAAAGGCGAGGCTCTTGAGGTTACATTCTGGAAACCCGCAGGGGCAGTTCTCTGCCCTCGAGGGTCCCTGTGAGTCAGAGTGGACCAGACAGCAGGGGGTATCTGCGGTGACGGCCTGGGAGAGCCCCGCACAGCCTTCCTCTAGTAACATATGCACAAGAGGATTGGCATGAACATTCCATCGACAACTTGAGTTTAGGATTCAGTAGCACATTGTTCTCTGAAGCAATTTTTTTGTTCCTTTAAAATTAAAAAGGTTTTTTTTATTTAATGAAGTCAACCCCTAAGTAAAGCCTTACTTACTTTTACACATAAAGTGTATAAAATGGAGTGGCTGTGGTGCTGGTGGGGGAGGTGGGAGAACAGTAGTAATTAGAGCCCTCACATAATACCTCCTCCCCACCCTGGGCAGCCCCCTCCGGAACCCTCCTGTCCAAGGAACCTTAGGGCTCTCAGGGCCCTGTGTGTCTGTCAGTCTTCAATTTGTCAGATGAAAGAAGGGCATTGGGGACCTCACATGGTCTGTGTTGTAAAGAGAACCCATGTTCTTCAACAACCAGCATGCCGTTCACTAGCCACAGGTCAGGGTGCTGGACCTTGGGTGCCTGAAACAATGAATCAGGGTCCCAGCTGGAAAGGACTTCACAGTTCTAAGGAAGTACTCCCTAGCCTTTCCCCCATCTGGGCATGCCCAGAAAACAGACAGACACACAGCGGTTTGAAAGCCGAGATGACTGGCCCAAGGGCTCTAGCCTTCCTGTGCCCTGCTCAGCCCTCCCGTGGGAGC